TACTGGATAATTATAAATTCCATAGAAAATCTGAGAACATCCTCTCTACCAATTCAGATTGGTCCTGGCAGACTTGAAGCTTTGTGAATTCCCGGTATGACAAATTGTCATCAAATGCCAGCAAAACGATGTCTGGAGAAAAATGTTCTGTTAGGTTCACTGAAAATGAGAACAGCATTTTTCCCTTTGGTTCTTCCTAGAGTAATTTATTATAGCTGTAGAGCACCCCTTTCCCCAGGGTCATTTCTAAGGAAGTTTAAGTTCAGATTTTTCTCTCAATGTCTTTCAATAACCTCTTGTGGAGTGAAAGATACTGTGGCCAAATGTACTTTGCAAGAAATAAACATAGAATCAAAGGGAAACTACTTCTTTTCCCCCTCAATATGTCCAGTCATAGCTTTGGCAATTCTGGAATCAATTACTAGTAATTCTGCCAGCACCTTGACATTTCTTCCAGGGCCAGACAGAGGAGAGACAGAGGTGATCTATTTATATGTTACCACTGCCTTTGTCTTTTCCCCTCCTGTTCCTGTGTACCCAAGGACTCAGCAGTCATTACCTGTATCTTAGTTCCTCTTTGTTGGGTCAAAAGTTAGTGAAGAGTGGTTGGGTAGATGGATGAACAGCACTTTTATTTTCAGGCTTGAGGATCCTCAGCCTCATTGGGGGAGACCAAAAAAATAATGAAGAGACTCTTCCTACAAAATGAATTAACAGCTTTCATATAAATAAATGACTCAATTATTTTATCTTCTAAAAAGAGTTTACTCATAAAAATGAGAACAACATTTATTTTCACCTCTGAAGAATAATAACACCAAGCTATAAGAAAGACATATAGTGTGTGCTTAAGAATTTATTCATTTACCTGACAAATGTTTATTAAACACTTATTATGTCCCAAGCATGGTTTTAGTTTCTGGGGAGACAGAAGTGAGTAATATCAAAACAGACCCTGTTGTCAAAAAATACACATTCTAAAAACAAACAAATAATTTAATGTAATTTCAAATGATGTTATGAAGAAAAAGAAAGGTAGGGTAAAGAGAGGGTGAGTATGTGCATTTGTCTGAGAGGGCAACATTCCAATGGAAGAACCTGAAGGACATAAAGAGAAACATCAGAAATGAAGGCCCTGTGATGCTGTAAGATTTGAAGTTGCTCAAAAGCTAGGAAGGAGGTGGGTGGTATAGATGCGGGATGACAAGGGCTGGGCCCCAATGAGGTGGGCCTTTTAAGCCAAATTGAATTTGATTCCAAGTGTTACGACAAGGCACTGAAGACTTTGACAGGGAGTGATGTAAAATCTGATTTCTATTTTACAAAATCACTTTGGCTATTTTATGGGGAAAGAGTGATGGCAGGGAGCTGGCAAGGAGGCTTTTTCCATAGCCCAGGCAAGGAGAAAATGGTGAAAATAGCAAAGTGTCACCAAAGGATTGCATTAGAAATTTCTTCATTTGAGTTGATTGGCATGGATGTTCCCTCATAAATTCTGTCCCAGAGTTGTACTATCTCAATCTCACAAGTAAGAATGCCAACAGAAGCATTCTGTAATCATGTTTCATATAGTTGGGTGTGAAAGTCATTTTTCCTTTCTCACTAAGCTTAGTTAGATGATAAGGTTGTTTATGTAACCTCCTGAAATGAAAGAAAAAAAAAATGAGGCAAATTATGTCACACAAATGAAAACACTTGATAACAGAAGGGGAATTGTTGTTCCAACAGAGAAAGATAATTGTGGGCTAGAAGGAAAGACAGTGATGTGGGGATTTGGACACACCAACCAATCCTCAACACTCCCAGTAAAGATATAGATGCTTGAGAAAACAAAACAAAACAAAACAAAAACACAAAAAATGAAATATCCCATTGAACTGTTTAGTGATTTATTACATTTTTAACACCAAAAATCTAGAGAGTATGGCCAAAGAAAAGATTTCTGTAGCATTTCTGTGTGTGTTTGGCAGTGCAAGAAATGTAACTTGAACATTGAAATATTGGAATTGCCAGGAAATGTTCATGGCTTTATATAGATAAAGGAACAATGTTGTTTAATTTGGGACCACTGAAGAAAATTGGGTATATACAGACATCTGAACCATATAGTTCTCCTCCTTAAAAATAAACATGTTCGTAACATTTCAGTCTACCAGATACAACCTGAAATGAGAGAAGAGATTTTCGTCTCTATTTTATAGGAAAGGGAAACACAGAAAAGTGAGCAGAATTGCTCTCAATTCCATAGTGACCAGATCAAGCCTTGAAACTCCAGATGCATTTCCTCATCGCCACTAGAGCTACTACAGAGTCTGGTCATCTAACAAGTGGCTGCAAGTCATTGTATGCTGTCTTTTTTTCACATCGTTCCACTTAGCAGGGGAATGAGTTTCCTTGGCAGAGAAAGTAGAACAAAAGGAAAAAAAAAAGTTTATTTGCCAAAAGAAAAAAGTTTTGAAGCAGCATATATGTCTCACACAGACACACACACACACACACACACACACACACACACACAAATCATTCATCTCTTAGAAGCAGTATATTTTTATCATATTTTTTTCTACTTCTAGCCATGTGAAGATCTATTGTTCATGTAGTTCAATAAGGAGCTAAATAAGTTAAGAGGTAGAGAATGAAACCCAGGGAAAAAGATTAAAACATATTGAAAAGCTTAATTCTGAAGGACAGGATGAAAGATAATTCCACAGGCATCTACAAACATACCAATTTACACAGAGGTTGGTGACCAATTTCTACCATTGTCATTTAATTTGATGTCTTCTCATCTCTGGTGCAAGTATTCTGATCTAGCTCCATGATGAACACAAGAATGGGTTAAACTTCATGATGAATTTCTGGTTTATTACAACTAAACTTCTGGGAAGTAAAATAACTGTTGAACACTAGAATAGTTTACACCAAATGAGAGCTTTACCAAGTAAACTATTTCTCTGTGGCCCATTTCAACACTATTCTCAGTCCCCGTCATTTCTTTCTTTTTATCTTTGGGTATATTGTCCCATGCACTCTTTCCCTTGTCTTAGGTTTCCAAACCCTGACATATTTCAAGTCTTAGTTCACATCAAACCATATTGAAACTCAATGATTTTCACCTTTTATGAACCTCTGCAACAAAGCAGAACTTGAGAATTTATAGATATACCATTCATAGTTTTGACTGTTGCAAGAGATTTTGATTCTTATTACTTTCATTAGGCATGGATTAGAATCATGATGTGAAGGAGGAAATCACTGATTAGTGAGGAAAACTAGTCCGCTGTTGAGCATCTACAACTTAATGACCTTCTTGTTGTTCTCTTCCTGTCTTTGTGCACACAGTAACCTCCGAACATGAGATTTGGAATCTTCAAGTTTCTCAGCATATATCTCTGGCATATATCTCTGGCAAATCTCAAGGATTTATTGTACCTAAAGTCTGTATCACATAATGCAACCCAGGGTCCAGAAAAAGTCTAATTTGAATACTCCAGGAATTCTGGAATATGATGGCATGCTTCTTAGTCTTTGGTTTACATATAAAGGCATTTCAGCCAGTGAGAAGTGGATTTAAACTTCATTTTCACGGTTCCTATTTTGTTTAAATAAAAAATTCTGGGAAAAAATGTTTTGGAGAGTTTGGAGTTCAGTGTGCAATAGTGAGTCCAATAATTCTACCGAAACTACAATATGAAGAAGGCATAGTGAAAGTGTCCTGACACTGCCGTACAAAGAAGGATTTCAGCTCTGATCCCAGAAAGAGCCAGTGGGAAGAGGTTCCACTCTCAGTCCTGGGGAAATGGCAGAGAAGCTGAAGTAGGAAAAGTAGGAATCATGCCATAGAAATTTCCATTGTCCAGCTCTATGAAAATTTAGGTTAAGTCCTTTAAAAATCATCTCTAACAATATCAAACTAAGAGTACTGCTCAGAGTCCACGTAAGTGTTGCAGTTGTTGGTAAGGTAGTTCCAAGAGATACAACCAGTAGTGGGAGATGGGATCCTCAGAATTGGGAGAAAACTGACCCAATCTGCAACAGTACTGAGTTGACTTAAAGACAAAATGATATTAATATACATCATGGATTGAGTTCTTTCTAAGGTCAACACTATGCACATTGTCTCATCTAATCCTTATATAACTGTTGTTTGAGGTAGGCATAACTAAGTCATTTTACTGAGCAGGAAACTGAGGCATAGAAAATTAAAGCAACTTAACCAAGAATCACACTGGGTGTAAGTGGCAGGGTCAGAATTATGTAATTTCAGGGTTCCTATTTTTAATCCTCATGATCTATGTCTTCTACACAATGGTAAAAAAGGAATAGGAATACTCTTGTATTAAAGAACAAAGCCCATGTAACTCCACCTCATAAAAGGAGCCCTAAAGCTGGCTATCTAATAACAGAGGTGAGGTGAGGTGCTATATGATGTAAGAATCCTGAGGTGGGAACCTCAGTTAGAATGGAGCCCAGCCTTAGATGTTCCAGTAATAGTGATGGCCTGGAAACCCAAGTTTTCCCTTATAGTTTTCTCTAATCATTTAATGTGTGGCATGCATCTAGTTATAAATTCTCACTTTCAGGGTGAGAACTTAGTCTACAATAACAATATTTATTTAAGAATACTCAACATTTAATTGATAGATTCTCATTTCTCTAAGATGAGAAGTTTCATTGTGGCCCTATGGAAATGGAAGGCAGAAGACTGACAACAATTACTTTTTTTTTTTTTTTTTTGGCTGCGTACAGTATACTTTATTGATGGTACATGACAAGGCAGGGCTCCCCAAGCCCTTCCCCTTCTTCAGGGGGTCTGGGATGGAAACAGTGGAGGTCGGGAGATTTTCAGTGTTTTGGGGGATAAGTTGGGGCAGGGACTCCCCAGCAGCTGAGGGCCTCTTTCTTCCTCTTGCTCTTGCTGGGGCTGGTGGTCCAGGGGGCTCTTACTCCTTGGAGGCCATGTGGACCATAAGGTCCACCACCCAGTTGCTGTAGCCAAATTCATTGTCATACCAGGAAATGAGCTTGACAAAGTGGTTGTTGAGAGCAATGCCAGCCCAGGCATCGAAGGTGGAAGAGTGGGTGTCACTGTTAAAGTTGCAGGAGACAACCTGGTCTTCAGTGTACCCCAGGATGCCCTTGAGGGGGCCCTGTGATGCCTGCTTCACGACCTTCTTGATGTTGTCATACTTGGCAACTTTCTCCAGGCTGCAGGTCAGATCGACGGCGGACGCGTTGGGGGTGGGGGCACGGAAGGCCATGCCAGTGAGCTTCCCGTTCAGCTCAGTGATGACCCTGCCCACAGCCTTGGCAGTGCCAGTGGAAGCAGGGATGATGTTCTGGGCAGCCCCTTGGCCGTCGTGCCACAGCTTCCCAGAGGGGCCATCCACGGTCTTCTGGGTGGCAGTGATGGCATGGACAGTGGTCATGAGTCCCTCCACGATGCAGAAGTTGTCATGGATGACCTTGGCCAGAGGAGCCAAGCAGTTGCTGGTGCAGGAAGCATTGCTGACAATCTTCAGGGAGTTGTCATACTTCTCATGTTTCACACCCATCAGGAACATGGGGGCATCCACAGAAGGAGCAGAGATGATGACCCTCTTGGCCCCACCCTTCAAGTGAGCTCCAGTCTTCTCCATGGTGGTGAAGACCCCAGTGGACTCCACAACATACTCGGCACCAGCATCACCCCATTTGATGTTGGCGGGATCTCACTCCTGGAAGATGGAGATGGACTTTCCATTGAGGACAAGCTTCCTGTTCTCAGCCTTGACTCTGCCGTGGAATTTGCCATGGGTGGAATCATACTGGAACATGTAGACCATGTAGTTGAGGTCAATGAAAGGGTCACCAATGGCGACAATATCCACTTTGCCAGAGTTAAAAGCAGCCCTGGTGACCAGGCGCCCAATACTGCCAAATCCGTTCACTCTGACCTTCACCATCTTGTCTTGGGGACGCGACTGGCACTGCACTGGAGATGTGGCTGTCTGTTGAACGGGGAGGAGCAGAGAGCTGACAACGATTACTTTTTTTTTTTTTTTTAAGGATTTTTTTATTTATTTAATGAGAGAGAGAGAGAGAGAGAGAAGCAGAGGGAGAAGCAGGCTCCCAAGGAGCAGGGAGCCCGATGCGGGACTCGATCCCAGGACCCTGGGATCATGACCTGAGTCGAAGGCAGACGTTTAACCATCTGAGCCACCCAGGCGCCCAACGATTACTTTTTAAAAGGCCTTTCTGTTCCCAAAGAACTTGAGTTTCAGTCATATCCTCATTTGTGCAAGACATATTAAAAAAGAGACTCTTAAATTTCCTGGACAATGAATGGTTTTCTCTTGGATAGCTATAACCTTCACCCTTACTTTCAGTTCTAAACTTTTAGAGCAAACAAGACATAATCAACTCATGGACCAAACCTGCAAAACATGCATATGTAGATTTATGTAAATACTCATGCAAATCAGGCACAGCCACTGGGCTTCTGGGAGGTTACAAATGGAGCCCTTGGTACAGCAGAGGTCAAATATCCTTGGCTTAGAGCTCAAGTCTACATGCAGATTTTTATAGGACAATGGCAGCCCCTAAACACGGCAGTCTTTAAATGCTGTGATAATTCTATTCCTGAGTAGTTTTCAGTCATAATTAGGAAAGGGTGACCTGGTTCAGAGAAAAATGAAGAGCAGAATGAAACTGAGCTCTAATATTCCAATTTATTTAAGTTGAATATTGATTATCTCCCAGCCCCTGCTTTCCTTCCTTTTTCATGTGTCCATGAAGGGACCTCAGCTGGCATGGAAAATGGCTTTTTTATTTCAGATGGCTTTGATCTGAGTACTGAATTTCCCTAACTTACCTAAAATTCAGGAGAGCCCAGAGCCGCTGTCCTTGAAAGGGCTTCAATGTAGAGGAGCCACATGCCTTGAAGTGTGTGGGCACCCTCCCCACATGCTGTACCACCACCACCAGTGAAATTATAAAAACAACAGAGAATCTGCTATGACTAGTACAACTACTAATACTGAGAGCTGTGGATTTTCATTCCAGTGAATTATAACCAGTGAACAAGACCACTAAACCGGAGTTTGAGAATATCCTTGCGGGAACTCACCGGATGATCTGGGTAGAGTAGGCCAGGTTAATCCCAGTCCCTCCATCTCAGAGCAGAGGAGGTCTGTGGAGCACGTGGGGGTAACCATGCCAAATCAGCATTGGACCTGGATGAATTGGCCAAAATGGTCTTTTGCCATCCTTGTTGTGCACGTCGGCTTTAATACCTGAGTTCACAACCAGGGGTTTTGCTTCTACTGCAGGATTCAATTAATTGTGCGGAGTAGTTAGACTTCGAGCACCACCAACACTTCTTGCCCAGAAACAAATCTCATGCAGGGTGACTTTAACAGTTCCCAGTGCTGGCTACTCCCAATCTACTGCCACACAGCACTGCCTCCTGGTTTCTCCAAACACCGTCTTAGAGCCTGACAGTGAGAATATTCCTGTTCTCTTAACGTGTTTCCAGGACTGTAGCCAAAAGGAGACACCAGGTCATTAAACACATTCACAGCTGAATGACTGAAGAAAAGACATGATAGTTTTAATTAATTCTTTGCAATTGAGCCCTGTGTTCTTTGGATAAGATTATTACTTCTATGTTCCTCTGATTCCACCTCTATAAAACTGAGATCAAAATGCCAATTTTCTTCAATGAAATGGTCTGGAAAATAAGAAAGATAAAAATCTGAAAGCATTTACAAATGTCTATTTTTAAGTTGAGAAAAAAACATTGGTGAGTTTAAAATTAGCCAAATTCCATGAGGAGTTTCTGTAGAAATTTAATGGATCAGGATAAGAGCGGTGATTGTAGTGATAACAAAATGTGAACACAAAATTAAAGGAGTGAGGGTGGAGCAACTAAAAAGTCAGAGATAGACTTTGCCCTGTTTAGTACAGATAGCCAAGGCACTTGGGGGGAAAGAGGGGTGATGGGGGAAGCTTTTCTTTGAATGAGACAAGAAAAAGTGAACCAATTATGCCATGGATCAGGGGAATGGATAAAAACCCAGCTTTCAGTTTGCCAGATAAGCACTTTCAGTTAGACTGTAAATAATTCTCACCTGTGCTTAGGTATAAACCATGTAAGCAGTACCAATATTTGAAAGAGAAAATTGTCCTCACTTCTAATTAAAAGGTATTATATTCTCAGTCGGCTGTGTTGTTCAAGAACCCATTAATCAAAGAAGCCATTAGATCTCTACTTACATTAATTCCATTATTGTATCACGTGAGTTATGTTCAAACATTTATTGCCCAATAATTTTCAGAGAAAAATGTAATAACTTGGGTGGAGATATCATTAATGTGTAGAGATTTTTGGCGCAGGAGTTAATGAAGTGCATGAACTAACCCTCCAACCCTAATTATAATGAACTTTTCCAAATTCCAAGGCTAATGGGTAAGCTCCAAATGCTGTAAATGAGGTTGCTGGGTTCGAGTAACACTCTGTGAATGTCAATTTAGTCCTAGGCTTTTGTAAGGATAATAACAGGTAAACAAAATCAGAGACCTTTCTCATCTTCTAGAATATTTGAGGCTATTTCTTACATGCCCAATAATTTTTTAACAACAGCTTCAATTATAAGAATATATAATGGATATATATATATATATATATATAAACCTTTCTAAAACAGGCAGTTGATTCTATCTTTTTAAAATCTCAAGTGGTAAAACAACATATCATTACAAAAATAATACCAACAGGGCTTTATAGGTTATTATAAGAGAATTTATCATGTGCGTTGCCTATTATCACTGTGCTTGTCAAACTGTAGAATTATGAGATAAATGGTAATGGCCATCATGTAATATTTGCTTTAGGAAGTCTGAGCAATTGTAAAAAGACACTGGACTGCCGAGACCTAATACTTGGTTCTAGACTCTTGAAATGGCACAGGTGTACTGCAGATCTGAGGCAGAAGAGAGAGACAAAAAATGAGAACATTTGGATTTGGGCTCAGTCAATCACAGCTTCTGAACATTTGGAGTGATCTCAGGAGTTACATAGACCGGACAATTCTCTTAGTCTGAGATGAGTTGAGGCCGGAAACTGAGGAATCCAATTGCCTCAACCATAGAAATACGTGGGATATCAGTGAGACCCCAGGTCCACAGGGAGAAGTTTTCAATTTTTAGCAACAGAAAGTCAACAGAACATGTTTTAAGTAAAATGATGTGTGAAATCCCAAAGTATAAAACATACAGAATAGACCCACTTGGGATGAAGGCAGAGGGGATGGAGAAGAGCGCCCCCCCCAGGCCCTGCTCCCTAGAGCCACTGCAGTTTTCCTATGGGAAGTTACCAGATGGCTTAGATCTCTGGAGAACTGCTTGAGTTAGGACTGTTCTGGTGTCAAAAGAAAAAACTCAATATGAGTAAGAATGAGATCAAGCAAAATATTAATGATGATGAGAATTATCTCATAGAGGAACAGTGCAGCTGAGTTTGAGGGAGGGACCAGAAATGGGATGGTTGGTCATCAGATATCTCTGTCTCTGTTGTTCCCTTTAAATACATACATGGACTTCCAAATTCCATGGGAAAAGATTATGACTGGTCTAATTGGGGTGGGAACCAACAACTCTAATGGGATGTGGTGTTGTTATATAGGGAGAAGGAGGAAGATAGGGTCACATCCTTCAGCTTGTGTCACAGGCAGCTGTGACCTAACTTCTCACTGAGGCTCAGGGTCTGGGCTCCAGATCCTGTGGGCAAGGATGACTGAGGACCAGGAAGGTGGCCTTGAAATACCGAACAAGACCGAAGCCCAGCTCTTTCCCTACAGCTGAAGGTCAGGGAAGAGAGCAGCCGGACTACTGAGTTGGTAAGTCCCGTAAGCTACCTAGCTAGGTCTTTGAGACACTCCTGACCAGTTTAGGATTGCTTTCTGAGTTGGGGCTGGGGCTGGGGGTGAGGGTGGGGGGCACCAGTAGAACCTGCAGGAGTCAGTGGAGCTCTGAGCATGTGGCCTCTGCTGGGAGAGAACTGAAGAGGCCGTTAAAACTTCCTATTACGGCTTTCTGCTCCAAACAATATTTGTGGGGAGAGGACATCCCAGGGCCTCCTACTCTCTCTTAACCCTTCCTAACGAAGTGAGTGATCTGTGACAGGAGAGAACAGTTCAGTTCCAACAACATGCAATGCCTGAACCAAAATTAAGGGAGCTATGTTGAATATACATGTTCTCTGAACATGAACAAACACAAGTGGTCTACACCTTCTAAGCTAACATTTTCGACATACATGGTCTTGGGGTGTATAAAAATTTTCTAAGAAAAGATCTCATGAAATAATTTCAAGAGTTACTCCCATATATTACTTTGGGATAGTTTTCATGCATAGAAAGACTAATACATGAAGCTTGTCTACATCTCAGTGTGGTACATGTTTTACTCACTTGCCTAATTTGACGAAGATTTTAATATCACATGGTTGCTCGAAGAAGGACATGGAAACGTTTAGAAGCAGGACTCAGGGTTTTAACGTCAAACGCCCACTCTTAATGCTTCTGCTAAGAAGTAACAAAATATTTGTCTCGAAAATAGTTAACTCTTCCATACACAATCTACAGCACACTGCATTGGCAAGCATTACGTAGCGCCCCTTCTCTTCCAGGGAGGATGGAAATCTTTTTGCTTCGGTTTTCAGCTTTTCTCACAAAGATGCAGAACCCCAAGAACACACACCGTTCTCCAACAAGTGAGCTTGTCTTGAGACAATTTTTTTAATCTAATTTAAAGATTGGGACACCTGGGTGGCTCAGTCGTTAAGCATCTGTCTTGGGTTCAGGTCATGATCCCGGGGTCCTGTAATCGAGCCCTGCATCAAGCTCCCTGCTCCGCGGGAAGCCTGCTTCTCCCTCTCCCATTGCCCCCTGCTTGT